CACACACACACACACACACACACACACACACACACACACACACACACACACACGCACAGGAGCAGGACAGGACAGGAGCATTTCAGCTCTGTTTACTACATACAAACACCATGACGCTGAGGCCGGCGATTACATCATGGCTCTCCTCGGCCTGGATGACACATCGCTTTGATATTTCTGTCTAGAGGGATCAGTGAATGAAGACATAAAACTACAAGAAACACCGATCCACTTGTTAGATGTTTACTTTTCCACTCAAACAGAGCGTGGCGTTACTGTACAACAGAGACATGTTAATGCGCCATCCTGTGGTTTTAAAGAAGGAAATCCTTTTTTTTTTCACAACTAAGAAATACAAAACACCTGATGACACTGAAACTGTACTGTAGGACCGGAAAATACATCTAACCGTTCATAAGGGTCTGTAATTATTTGTAAGAGCACCAATTAGGAGGACACACGTGGAAAATTAGGTCATTTTTTGTTGGAACACACACCTAACACTCTTTTAGATTAGAATTAGGTCAAAGTAAGAGATTAGGGACGGAGTTGATAATTAAAAGAAGGGATGGGAGAACGGATTACATCATTGTTGCCTTTTTAAACCGTGTCTGAAGAAGATCAGAGCCTGCAAACTGATTAGTTACTTCATTTTTCGTTTGCCGTTAATGGGAAGCACACCTATAATGACTTCATTTTTAGAGCCAGTCCAGTTCAGGACGACGACCACGACAAATTAGCATTAGCCAACACGAATAATGAGCTAAAATTYGGTGTTGCAGTAGCTGAAGGTACTGTATGTTGCAACACACAAAGTTTAATTGTTCTGATTTGACCAAAAAAAAACCCGATTTGTTATTTGGTGAACCATAAAGTTGATCATAGCCTACAGATAGCTTATTGCTACTGGTGTTAGCTTCATATTTACGGAACRTAAAACCTTCTCATCAAACTGACAAAGACTAAAAATGAACTTTTAAAGAGTGTCGATACAATACTTCAAACTACTACTRTTATTATTATTATGTTAAAATAATAGTGATTTCTGTGGTTTGTACCTGAGGTGAAGAGCAGGAGGGGTTGTGTCCAGGGGCGGGGACACCTATCACACAAGACATCTGCTTTTCTATCTGAAAAAAAAAGGAATATTTTCATGTAATCGTACTTTTTTCTTCACAATCATCACGTCGTCGTTTCTTGATCATAATGTAGGAGCATGGGCAGGAGACCACTGCCCCCCCACACTTACCGTCATGTGCTGAGCAGATGCCCCTTGCATGGCGGGGTCTGGCAGGGAGCCGGGTAAGGAGGCGGGCAGAGGTTGTCTGGGTCTGTTTCGCATGTGGAGGTGGCAGGACAGCGGACCGGGAACGGGCCTGTGTTTGGTCACAGAGAAAGGAAAGCAGGTCAAACACAAGGAGCCGTCCACAGCTCAAGTTTCCCCCCCAGTCCACTTTAGAGAGGAGTTGAAACATTTAGAGTCAAGTCCTGATGGCTTATAAAAGTGACGACACGCTGAGTCACCCCAAAGAAAAGAGGATAAAGAAATGGTGCTTTAAAGAAMGTGTTTTAATAATGAGGTAAGGCCTTAAATTGTGTGAATCAAACAATTACCTATGAATTAATCTACTTTYGATGTTCAAATTAAGCAGGTTTTGTTGCATTAGAGCAAAATCACGAAATAATAAACTAAACCTAGTGCTGATTCAGCATTCACATTGTTTTCCTAATAGTTTTTTTTGTTTATTTATCTTTATTAATTTCATTTAAAAACAGAACAGATTCTATATACAACAAAAAATACAAATCACAAATAAAATGAAAGGCAGCAGAAAGAAGACAAAAAAAATCATATTATCTGCCCCTATTTTCCAAAAAATAATTTCAAACAATAATAATATTCAAATAACAAAACAAAACAAAGACTTCAACTCCTTCATGAACAACAGATCTTATGAATACACATTAAACAATTTAATATCTCTTTAACAAATTAACTTTTATCATTCTCTCAAACAAACTCATTGAGCCAGCATTTTTATGCAACTTTTTTTCTTGAATTGTAGGTTTTACAAACATCTCTAAAATTATAATAACTTTCCCTTTTTACAAAATCTGATTGGATGTTTAAAGGTAATACATTTTTATGAGCCTTATACATAACCTGCAAAATATTATAATCAACCAACTCATAATTTTTTTTAGAATTTTAATTGATAAAATAATGTATTTGATGGGTGACTGTTATATTTTCTGGTGATAATTCTTACAGCTCTTTWATGTAAAACTAAAATAGGATTTGTAATTGTTTACATGCTTTCCCCYAGACCTCAATACAATAGATCAAGTGTGGAACAAGTATTCCATTATACTACATAAACAGTGCTTTGTCATTGAATAACTTCAACAATTCAATAACTTCARTGGTTTGTTTTAACCCCTCATAAACTGTCAGCTCATTCATACTGACTTTTATACATTTTTGTTTCAGTTCCTTTATTAGTAGGTTTTGTTTATTTTAGCTACTGCTTATCTAATTTTARCTTTTTGCTACTTTGGTACTACTTTTAGCTACAGTTTTGTTCATTTGAACTTTTAGCTGTAACTTTGCTAATTTAGCTTTTAGCAATGGTTTTGCTAATTTCCWTCCTGCAATGCTTCACACAATAAACAAAGTTTATTGGAAGTAGCCGACAACAAAATTAAATAAATGTGACATTTAGTTTCTTAGTGCTTAGCTATGTAGGTCGTARTTTCTATCAATAAAATTTGTTTGACTGGTTTAAGAAAAATCAAACTTATTCTCTRTCAGGTGAAACAACAGGTTTGTGCCTGTTTCAGACAATTCTGTGAGGCTGTGATGATCTATGTATAATAATTTACAACTAAAAATGTTTTGAAGSCTCGAGTTATTTATAAGTTCATTTCAAATCACAATGTCCATGTTTTACCATGGCCTGGGTGTGGAAAAGAAGAAACCTAACATCACAGAAAAACGCTAAAAATGTTACTAAGAACACAGGAAGAATCAGGTTTTCACTGTATGTGAATAAAAAGAGTTGAGATGAAACAACCACAGTGAAACGGATGATAAGATGAAAAAAGAACTGGAAAAAAAACCCAGGAATGTTGAAAAAAAAAGATGACGCTTGAAGGAGGAGAGAAGCTCAGGGGGTGGGCGGGGTGTGGGGGTGCAGAGACCCATGTGCTGCTGACCTAACGGCCTCTGGCTCTCGGCCAGCGTGGACCGCCGTGGTCGCCCTGAGGTCATCAGCAGTGATGTCATCACCGAAACAGGGTTCTCTGCGTCCCGCTTGCCTTACTCAACACAGAACAGAAAAACCATAACAGCGCTTCCTAACACAACCAAAACAGCTCCGGCCGAGCCAACTGCCTGACAGAAACCGTGTTGCCATGGCAAACGGGCCGTAAACACCTCAGTCCACGGTTCATTCAGGAAGATTTAACGGGTCTCACTGACTAACACGCCGTCTGGATTGAGTCGGTGTTGATTTATTGTGCCCAAACTAACTCAGTTCTTCCCTGGCTCTCCTGCCACAGCCTGCCTGGGCCGGGATCTGGGCTCTGAGCTCATTATGTCACCAACTTACTTCTAAAACCCTGACTCATCTACTCATCAGCAGAGATGAGACAAACACTTTGTGTGTGTTAGAAACCAGATATTATAATGACAATTGATAGAAAGTAAAAGAGGGGTTTTATTATTTCCAAGAAAGGGATTTATAGAAGTGTCCAGATACCAGAACCTCCTCAGCTGGTTCATTTTGATGTGGAGGAGCTACAGCTCTGCTCTGTCTGTCCCAGATAACTGAACTCCTCATCCTATCTGTTACAGATAGGATGRGATAGTACCAGGGCTGGCCCTAGTCATTTTAGTGCCCTAAATATTTCAGGTGCCCGAACGCAAAAGTTATTACTGAAAGTTRTTATTAAAAGTTATTACCACAGGGTTATTAATACATGCTCARCAGTATACGGGAATTAGTCTACTTTAATTCAGCTTCAGCAWGAATATATCACAGCYACAYATGGGGGATATGTAATATGGAGATATTTTAACTCTATGCAGMCACACACTGTCAGTTTCCCAAAGTTGTGGCAACMCATCCTGTCTTTCAAAATAAAAGTATGCTTCAGTACCGTTCATACAAAACRTTAAACTTTTGCATGGGAACGCAAAAYATTTTTGTGTGGGAACGCAAGAGCATTGCGAGGGCACGCAAAAAAAGTCCCCTTGTGGGCTCTGTACAATTAAAATATTTAACAATATTATTCATTTGAGAAAGAATGCCAGAAGTCTACCTCATACCTGCCAACATTTGTTGACAACAATGAGGAACACCCGTTCCTGTTAACCAGCAGCTGTGGAGTGAAGCAGTTCTAGCGGGGTCCAGGGGTATACGCTTCGGCAAAAGATCTACTCAAATCTATATATTTTCCAGCCATTTGAAAAGCATTACTAAATTTTCGGGATTCACAACACAAATCGGTATTTTATGAAGGTAGAACACTGAAAACCAGACTTTAACATGAACTTTATCTGAGAACATAACAGAAACTTTCATTTTCCTTATTTTGTTTTCTATCCACACACTTAGGAGTTAGTCTTGCTGCATCATATGGTACTTTTATCACAAAATATCCTCTGCACCATATACCTCATGCACAAAGCAGGCTGAGAAACCCACAGAACAAGTTCCCTTCATAAACTTGAGTAACCAGTGATTATTCTACAGACTAAATCAACTATAGTCTAATAAAAGCTCACCTTATAGCTCAGCTCCCACTGCACCACAACAAACCAGCACAGAGTTCACAATACTATCTAATAAGGGTTAACTGTCTGTGTCTCCCCCCACTATGCAATGAAATTTATTTCTTATATGCATTGAATTTATTATTTATTTGCATGGGACAAGTGTTACATATGACAAATACAGAACACTTTAACATTTATAGCCTCAGCTAGTTTGCAATGCTCATCCTCAGATGGGCTTTTAACAGTATAAAGTTTAAAAACAATAACATGGACGATAAAATATCACACTTAAAATATACCAGAATAAAATTAACAAGCCATCTTAAAAATCATCACAGTTTACTGTTAACGGTGACTACAAATCTCATCATTTTTAAGAAACTCCTTCAGTTTTAATCTAAAAATGTGCCAGTCTGGCATATTTGCATTTCTGCAAGTTATTGCCTAAATGAAAAGCTAGCCATTCTGAACCCTTCACCAAAAC